AACTTATCTCTGACATCTCCCCTATACCTTTCCACAATCACCTTTAAATTATGATCCCTCGTAATTGACATTTCCGCCCTGGGGAAAAGTCTCTGGCTATCCACTCTATCTATGCCTCTCAATATCTTGTACACCTCTATCAAGTCACCTCTCATCCTTCTTCGTTCAAATGAGAAAAGCCCTAGCTCCCTCAACCTTTGCTCATAAGACCTGCCCTCCACTCCAGGCAGCATCCTAGTTAATCTCCTCTACACCCTCTCTAAAACTTCCACATCCTTCCTATAATGAGGCGACCAGAACTGAACACAATAGAAGAATTTTATAGGTTTTTATAAGGTCCCCCCTCAGCATCTAAGCTGCAGTAAATATTATCCTGACTGATTCAGTCTGTCTTTATACCTCAGTCCTGTCATCCCAGGAATCAGTCTGGTAAACCTTGGTTGCACTCCCTCCACAGCCAGAACATCCATCCTCAGATAAGGAGACACAAACTGCATGCAGTACTGAAGGTATGGCTTGATTAAGGCCTTGTGCAAATCCAGTAATACATTCCTGCTCCTGTACTCATTCTGTTGGTAAGAAACGCCATTTGCTGCTGTCTGCTGCACCTGCATGCTTACTTTAGCAACTGCTGTATGAGGACACCCAGTTGTTTTTGCACCTGTCCTTTCCTAATCTTCCACTATTCAGATAGTAATCTACCTTCATGTTTTTGCTACCGACCTGGATAATCTTGCATTTATCCAGATTATACTTCATCTGACATGCATTTGCCCACTCACTTAATTAATGCAAATCACATTGAAGCATCTCTGCACCCTCTCCAAAGTTCACCCTCCCACTCAGCTTTGTATTGTCTTCAAACTTGGAGATATTACATTTAATTCCCTCATCTAAGTCATTAGCATATATTGTGAATAGCTGGGGTCTAAACAGTGATCCTTACGGTACCTCCTTAGTCATTGGCTGCCACTTAGTGTCCTGTTTAATCCTACTCTTTGTTTGCTGTCTGCCAACCATTCCCCTGTCCTTTTCAGCACACTGTACCCAATTCAATGCTCTTTCATGTTACTCTTATGCGCAACCTTATTGAAAGCCTTCTGAAAGCCTTACTTCAGTGGTGGGCAAATTATTGGAAAGGGCTCTGAGAGATAGGATTTCTGATCACTTGGATAGGCACAGTTTGATTCATGATAGTCAGCATGGATTTGTGAAGGGTAGATCATGCCTCACAAACCTTATTGAATTCTTTGAAGAGGTGACCAAACACGTGGATGAAGGTAGAGCAGTGGATGTGGTATACATGGATTTAAGTAAGGCACTTGATAAGGTTCCCCATGGTAGGCTCATGCAGAAAGTAAGGGGGCATGGGATAGGAGGAAATGTGGCAAATTGGATTCAGAATTGGCTGACCCTGAGAAGGCAAAGGGTGGTAGTGGACGGAAAATATTCAACATGGTGCTCAGTTACGAGTGGTGTATCACAAGGATCAGTTTTGGGTCCTCTTCTACTTGTGATTTTTGTAACTGATTTGGATGTAGGAGTGGAAGGGTGGATTAGTAAATTCATGGACGATACGAAGGTGGGTCGAGTTGTAGATTATGCGGAGGGCTGTTCTAGGTTACAAAGGGACATTGATAGGATGCAGAGAAGTGGACTGAGAAGTGGCAGATGGAGTTTAACCCTGAACAGTGTGAGGTGATTCGTTTTGGAAGGACAAACTTGAAAGCAGAATACAGGGTTAACGGAAAGATTCTTGGCAGTGTGGAGGAGCAGAGGGATCTCGGGGTTCATGTCCACAGTTCCCTGAAAGCTGCCACCCAGGTGGATAGAGTTGTTAAGAAGGTGTATGGTGTGTTAGCTTTCATTAATAGACGGACCGAGTTCAAGAGCCATGAAGTTATGCTCCATCTGCATAAAAGCCTGGTTCGGCCACATCTGGAGTATTGTGTCCACTTCTGTTCACCTCATTACAAGAAAGATGTGGAAGTGTTGGAAAAGGAGGAGATTTACCAGGATGTTGCCTGGAATGGAGGGAAGGTCTTACGAGGAAAGGTTGAGAGAGCTGGAGCTTTTCTCTTTAGAACGACGAAGGATGAGAGGTGACTTGATAGAGGTGTACAAAATGATCAGAGGTATAGATAGAGTGGACAGCCAGAGACCTTTTCCCAGGTTGGAGGTAGCTATTACAAGGGGGCATAGTTTTAAAGTGAGTGGAGGTAGATATTGGGGAGACGTCAGAGGTAGGTTCTTTACTCAGAGAGTGGTAGGGGCGTGGAATGCATTGCTGGAGCAGGAGTCGGCCTCATGAGGGGCATTTAAGCGGCTATTAGATAGGCATATGGATGATAGTATAAGGTAGGGGTGGAGGTTCGATAGACCTTAGGTTTAGGGTAAAAGTTTGGGACAACATCGTCGGCCGAAGGGCCTGTACAGTGCTGTACTGTTCTATGTTCTCTTAAAGTCTAAGTAAACAACATCTGTTGGCTCTCCCTTTTCATTTCTACTGGTTACACCCTCTCAGTTTGCGAGTAGATTTGTGAAGTACGATTTCCCTTTCATAAATCCATGCTGATTCTGTCTAATCCTGTCACTGTTTTCCAAATGCCATGCTATTAAATAATTGATAATGGATTCTGAGCATTTGCCCTGCTAACTGGTCTATGGTACCTTCTCTTGCTACATAGTTTTCTAAATAGTGGTGTTATTAGCTATCCTCCAACCCATGGGAACTGTTCAGCATCTACAGAATCTTGAAAGATGAGCATCAATACATCCACTATTTCTAGGACCACATCCTTAAGTTTTCTGAGATGCAAATTATTGGACCCTGGGGTTTTATTGGCCTTTAATCCTAACAATGTCCCCAGTATTATTTCCCTGCTAATATTGATTTCCTTAAGTTTCTGCTTAGAGCCTGTATCACCTAACATTTTGGGACATTACTTGTGTCCTCCTTTTTATGAAGGCAGAACCAAAATAAGTATGTAATAGTTCTATCATCCATTTCTAACATGTATCTTCACTAACCTTTATCTTTTCACATACCTATGGAAATTTTTATGATCAGTTTGTAGGTCCTCCACGAGCCTATTCTTGTTCCCTATTTTCCCCCTCTTAATCAGATGCATTGTCCTCCTTTGCTGAAGTTTAAACCTCTCCCATTTCATCAAGTCTATAGTTTTTTTGGGCAAATTTGTATGCCCCTTCCTTGAAAATAATACCACCCCTAATTTCCATTGTTAGCTGTGGTTGAGCCACCTTTGCTATTTCATTTTTGTGCCAGACTGGAATGAACAATTGTTGCATTTCCTCAATGCACTCTTTAAATGTTTGCCATTGCCCATCCAATGTTATCGTTTTAAGTAATGGTCCCAACTTTATCATAGCTAGCTTGTGTCTCGTACCGTTGTAGTTTCATTTATTTAGATTCAGGACCACAGTGTCAGGATTACTTTTATCACTCTACATTTTAACATTGTAGTATGATCTTCTCCCCCAAGCAACCTCATTCAGCTAGATTGCCAATTATTCCTTTATCATTACACCATCCTCAGTTTAGCATGACCTGTTCTCTAGCTGGTTCGTCAACATACTGACCCAGAAAACCACCTTGTGCATGCTCCAGGAAATCCTCCTCTACAGTATTGGCACTGATTTAATTTGCTTAATTAAATTAGTGCAGATTAAAGTAGCCATGCTCTCAGCTGTTCCTTTATTGCTTGCATTTCATTTTATATATGGGGAGCAACCAAGAAAGTGGACTTGAAGCCCAATCTCAGTCACGATTGTATTGGCTGGTACGTTCTGCCTCACTGGGGTAACATTTGTTAAATAGTGATTTCCAGAGTCATCGCAAAAGTTAAAGAATTCGATAAATACGCATAATTCCCTAAGTCACCTGGCATTTTAACTCAGGTTGACACAAACAATGTTTCCATGTTTCCAACGTGTAGGTTTTAACTTCAGATAAACAATTATGAACTGTTGACATGTTGCTGTACTAGAGTCCTAATCCCCTTATAAGCCCCTGTAATCCCCTTATAAACTCCCCCTCGCTCTCATATACAGACAAATGGGCAGAGGGAAGGACTGGTCTCTGTTCAGAGGGTGTGCTGAAATGAACCTTTTGGATGCTCGGGACGTGCTGTTCTGTGATCTGTCTTCTCCAGCTACTTTCATTTGCTTACAGGAGGTACAGGGTAGTTGGTTCACACTTCGACGTCTCTAACTTATTGGTTAAGTGCCACAGTTTACAACAATTACCAAAGCAAAAATAAACTGGATTTTACTGCATAAAAAAGAGACAGCTGCTGGCCCTGCAAAGATCTGATGGCTTCTTCCAATCTCATTCACAGCCCTAAGCTGTTCACCTGCCTGGGTTCCAATCATATTGTTGTTGGCAGGCAGATGACCTTCGTCATCAATAATCAGTCACTAGTCCAATCAGCTACTTTTTGCCAACCAAAGTTCCATTCTTAGAGAGCACGTCTGGCTCCAGTTAATTGACAAATGAGTTTTCCAGTACTAGAACAAGCAGCTGTGTTTACAATACTTACAATGAGTGTCAGATTTCTTGGTTTTAAAAGTACAGCAATCCTTTGTCTTTCCAAGTCAGTCCACAATCAAACATGCAGCAAAATAAAAAGACAGTCTTCACAGATAGAGTAGGCTCAGTGGGATAAATTGTCTAGTCCTATTTCTATTTCTCATGCTCTTGTGAATGTTGCTTAAATCTAGTCTCAACAGGTGAATTTGTGGTCTCAGGAGATACCTGAATCCATGCCAGCAGAAAGATTTAATCTTTTTTACGTGACAACTTGTTCAATAACACCTCTTGTCCTTTATCCCAAACTTTCATGAACGCTTTTGAACCAGCTCAACCACAGAAACTCCAGCCATTGTTCTTTATGAGTACTATCGCTGGTTGACCATTAGCTTTATATTTAGGAAAGCTGTTTTTTGGAAGGACCTAATTATTGTTTTGGTTGATTTTGCAGACAGATTTGAGAAGCAGCCATGTGGAAGTGGTACTCTGCAGATGAGTCGCCAACAGGGGTAAACATTATCTTAAACAATTATGCAATTTCATGCAGTTGCACATAACTTGACGTAAAAATGAGTTAACATGTATGTTGACGTTTTATTTGCTAAAAAATAATTTATGAGGTGAGTTTGCTTTGTACTTTTGATTGCAGTTTTGGAAAAATGTATACAAAAGTGCTTTTTGATACATTTAATTCGCCAAGCAACTACAATTTTGCCTCAGTTCTTTGGAACTTTCATGAACATTTGTGAATTAAATTGCTGATATCTGGCTGATTTGAGGCCTCTGTTAAATTCTGTTAAATCGGTAAAAGTTATGATCGTTATTGCAGAATCTAAATTATGCTTTCTATTGTCTAGTTTATAATGATATCCAGTCTGTGCAAATTAATTCTGTAGGCAGCAAGTTCCCAAAAGAGCATTGGCAATCACTCTGTGGCAGACTTAACTGAGCAGCTGGCTCAGAATGAGCAACTGGTATTGCAGCTGAAGGAGCTAGTTCGGGAGAAAGATAACCAACTTCATGTGAAAGATCAGCTGCTTAAGGTAAGGATTTAGACAATCCAAGTTCATGTCTTTTTTGTCTTTTATTTAAGTGAATTGCTGCAATGCTCTAGTACTTTGTGTATACACTGGTGATTGAATAGAACAGAATTTTCTTTATTGTCACATGCACTCAGTACATACATACAGGAGTACAGTGAAAAGCTTTACAATGCCGCCTCTCATGGCGCCATCATAGGTACAGTTCCCTAGGTACAAATCTTAGATGCAGAAAGAAGAATAAAAAAGAAAAGTATTTGCAATACTTTACAGAAATAAGACATAGTTAAAAAGATAGTCATTACAGTCATAGAAACAAATTACGCATAAACATTACGTTACGGAAGCTGAGTGCAGAGACTTCAACACATGACCTGACCGCCCGCGCCAGACCCCAGTCCAACAACTGTCCAGCTCCGCTCCAAGCCTCCAGTCTGCTCTGCACCGGCTCTCAGCTGCTCCAAGGTAAGTTTTCTCCGGGACTGTTTCCTTGCACGGGCCTCCACTCTGGGATTCGATTTCCTTCACCAGCCTCCACTCCGGGGCTCGTTTCTCTGTGGCTCAGGGATTTCTCCCTAGTGCTTAGCATCTCCTCCATTCCCTTCCAGCTAGGTCGAAGTCATTAGTTGAAGAAAAAGCAGGTAGGAGGGAAAAAAATGAGTGAAAAAAGAAAATATTGATAGTTGAATTCTGATCAAAAACTGCAAGTTTGCAGATGAAATAGAAGGTTCAAGATGGTTATTTGTTTGACTAATAGCCTGATCATGAGCGAAAATAATTAACAGTGCCTCTCGAGTAACTTTTCATTTAATGAGGTCAGAAATCACACAATACCAGCTTATACGCCAACAGAGATAGCAGTGTGGAGCTGGAGGAACACAGCAGTCCAGGCAGCATCAGAGAAGCAGGAAGGTTGATGTTTCGGTTGGAACCCTTCTTCAGAAATGCATTTCTAGGGTAGACTAGGGAAAAAGATAGTGTAGGATGCTGAAGGGGAGAAATTCCTGCAATGTGTGCAGGAGACGTTTCTGCAACAGTAAATTTCCAGCCCTACCAGGGATCATTTCCTAGGAAATGAAGCAAGCCAAGTGGAGAATGTCAGAGCTTTTGGGAAATAACTACCATAGCGTAATAGGGCTCAATATTAATTTGGAATAGGACAAAAGTCAGTCAATGATTAAGATCCCAGCCTGGAAAATGGCAGATTTCAGGGGCCTAAAAGTTGAAGTGGAACAAATTGGTTGGTACAGGATTTTGGTAGGTAAAACAATGGATGAAAAATGGGAGAATTTCAAAAGGGAGATGAATAGGGTGCATGCTAGGTACAGAAATAAATAGAGGTATCTAAAACTTAGAGTATCCTGGATTACTCAGGATATTGATGAGAAAATAAGGAAGAAAAGGAGGCATTCGATGCATACTGGAATAATGATAATAGCAATTGAATCAGGAAGGGTATCTCAAATGCGGGAGAGAGGCTCAGACTGGAATAAGGAAGTCTAAGAGGAAGCATGAGGAAAGGATGGCAGACTGTGCTGAAACAAATGTTAATATGCTTGAAGAACATTTTACTAGTAAAAGACTACTGAAGGAGTCCACATGGAACAAGCAGGTAAGCTGCTCACTGAAGCAAAGGCTATGGCAGAGATACTAAATGAATATTTTGCTTCTTTACCAAATTAGAAGATGGTGACAAGGGCCTAGTTGAAAACGTGTTGAGCAAATGAGCAGTACAGTGAAAGAAAAAAGAAGAGGTGCTATAAAGGACGGCAGCACTCCAGGTAGAGTTTTTGAGGTTCACATAGGATGTATCCTAGATTGCTGAGAGAATTATGAAACAAATTGTGGAGCTGTTGAAATTTTCCAGGCCCCTCTGACTATAGAATTCGTCCTGGAGGACTGGAGGATTGCGAATGTTACACCATTGCCTAAGAAAGGGACAAAGGATAACCTAGGAAACTGTAGACCTGTCAGCTTGATATTGTGTGGAGGTGTAGGTGTTGAACTGGGCTGGACAGTGTCAGAAGTCACTCAACACCAGATTATAGTCCTACAGGTTTATTTGAAATCACAAGGTTTCAGAGTGCTGCTCCGTCATCAGGTGAAGTGGAGGGAAGTGGACAAGCAGAGAATTTATGTGCTGAGATAATGGCAGGATAATTCTAGGTAATTAAGAGTGCCAAAAGTTAAGTACAAATAGTGTGAGTGGAATGTCGAGAGGCTGAATAACAAGTCTTTGCAGGTGATCAGAAGTGTTGGATGGTGTGAGTAAAGTGTTAACAGCTGAGTAGCAAGTGAAGAGATGACCTCTGATGCGAATTAGTTGAGGCAGACAAATAATTACAATCTTATTGCAATCCACCATCTTATTTTTGATTATTTGTGATTACCTCTGCCTTAATTAATTTGTACTTATCTTTTGACACTTTTAATTACCTGGAATTATCTTACCATTATCTCTTTCTGTATAAATTCTGTGCCTTTGCGCTTTTCTCCACTTCACCTGATGAAGGAGCAGCACGCTGAAAGCTTGTGTTTTCAAGTAAACCTGTTGGACTATAACCTGGTGTTGTGTAACTCCTGAGCTTGGTATCAATCATGGGAAAACTGATGGAGACCAAAATATGGGATAATGTAAGCACACACTTAGTGAAAAATAAGTTAATATTAGACAGTCATCATGGCCTTGTCGAGGGCAGGTCATGTCTGACAAACTGAGTTTTTTGACGAGGTGACACAGGCAGTGGATGAGGGTAGTGCTGTGTGGGTTGTATGTGGACTTTGAGGAAGCATTTGACATGGTGCCACATGGCAGGTTGGTTAGCAAATTAGAAAAGTTTGGGATTGATGTGTCTTTGGCAGCATGGATTAGAAGTTGGCTAAAAGATAGGAAACAGAGGGTAGGTATAGACAGGCATTTCTCAAATTGGAGTGGTGTTCTTGCTTTTTTCTGATTTATATAAATGATTTGAAGATTGATGTTGAGGCGAAAATCTCTAAATTTGCGGCTGTTGCTGAGCTGAGCGACATTGGAGGGGCATTGACAAGTTGGCCAAATGAGCAGACACCTGGCAAGGGAATTTTAATGCAGAGAGATGTGAGGTAATGCATGTTGGTCGAAGAAACGTGGAGAGGCAATACAGGCTCAATGATGCAATGTTGAGGGGAGTACAGGAACAGAGGGACTTGGGGGTTGATGTGCATGATTCTCTGAAGGTAGACAGGCAAGTTGAAACACTTGTTAAGGATCCTTGGTGTATAGGATCCTTAGGTTTATAAATAGAGTATAAAAGCAAGTAAATGATGCTACACCTCTACAAATCTTTGGTCAGATCAAGCCTGGAGTATTGTGGACACCTTACTTACAGAAGAATGTTAAAGCCCTGGAGACAGTTCATAGGAGATTAACTAGAATGATACCAGGAATGAAGGATTTTAGATACAAGAAAAGATTAGAGAGATTGGGTTTATTCTGTTCGAACCAAAGAAAATTAAGAGGTCACCTTACTGCAGTGTTCAAAATTGTGAACAATTTTGACGGGATAAAGAAGGATATTCTGTTTCTACCAGTCCGTATGTCAGTAGCTAGGAGTCACAATTTCAAGATTGTCAGCAAGAGAGCTAAGACTGTACTAGCAACAACACCAGAAGAAAATTTAATTCTTCAAGAACTTTTGCTATCCAGTTAGATCATGGCTGATTTGAATCTGAACTCTGTGTGCCACCTGCCTTTGTTCCGTAAAGTTTAACACCCTTACCCACTAAAATGTCTATCACAATCTTAATAAAATCTTTGATTAAAATCACTGTCTTGGAGCAATCAACTTTGAAGTGGAATATTATAGAAATTTCATGTTTTCACAGTGTAACAATGAATATGGTTTACTACAGGAAGACAAAGAAGCTTTTGAAGCAAAAATTTCCAAAATGAAGCTGCAGACAAAGGCAAAGGTCACATCACTTTCTGCCCAGCTGGAAGATATGAAGAAGCAACTAGGTGCTTCTGGTGTTAAAGAGCAGACAACTGGGAAACACAAGGTATGGCATGTTACTGCTATTCTCTATACCTAGTGACTGTGACTAAAGTGACAACCTGCTGAGGAGAGACATTGCAGGCAACAGAAAGCACATTTTAATGTAGACGATCATTGCATTAAAGTGGGAGCATATATTGTACTTTCACACTGACTGAGTTAACATTCACATTTGTTTAAGTGGTATGTTGATAATTCCGTTGTGGCTGAAATAAATGAATCATAGAATCCCTACAGTGCGGAAAATACTACACCACCAATTTTGGTGCGGTCTGCAAACTTACTAACCATGCCTCCTATATTCACATCCAAATCATTTATATATATGACAAAAAGCAGTGGACCCAGCACTGATCCTTGAGGCACACAACTGGTCACGGGCCTCCAGTCTGAAAACCAACCCTGCACCACAACCCTCTGTCTCCTACCTTCGAGCCAATTTTGTGTCCAAATTGCGAGTTCTCCCTGTGTTCCATGTGATCTAACCTTGTTAGCCAGTCTACCATGCAGAACCTTGTCAAACGCCTCACTGAAGTCCATACAGAGGGCGTCTGTCTGTCTGCCTTTGTCAATCCTCCTGTGAATTGTTGTTTTCTCTGCTGTAAACTTGCTTGATCTCTGGAAGGTACACTCGCACTGTTGTCATGCAAATCTCCCTGAATTTTAATCTGAGTATATAAACAAAAGTATGTGATATAGAGATAACAAGGTGTAGAGCTGGATGAACACAGCAGGCCAAGCAGCCTCAGAAGAGCAGGAAGGCTGACGTTTGGGGCCCAGACCCTTCTTCAGAAACGGGGGAGGGGAAGGGGGTTCTGAAATAAATAGGGAGCGAGGGGGAGGCGGATAGAAGATGGATAGAGAAGAAGATAGGTGGAGAGGAGACAGACAGGTCAAAGAACCGGGGATGGAGCCAGTAAAGGTGAGTGTAGGTGGGGAGGTAGGGAGGAGATAGGTCAGTCCAGGGAGGACGGACAGGTCAATGGGGTGGGATGAGGTTAGTAGGTAGGAGATGGGGGTGGGGCTTGAGGTGGGAGGAGGGGATAGGTGGGAGGAAGGACAGGTTAGGGAGGCGGGGATGAGCTGGGCTGGTTTTGGGATGCGGTAGGGGGAGGGGAGATTTTGAAGCTTGTGAAGTCCACATTGATACCATTGGGCTGCAGGGTTCCCAAGCGGAATATGAGTTGCTATTCCTGCAACCTTCGGGTAGCATCGTTGTGGCACTGCAGGAGGCCCAGGATGGACATGTCGCCTGAGGAATGGGAGGGGGAGTTGAAATGGTTCGCGACTGGGAGGTGCAGTTGTTTAGTGCGAACCGAGCATAGGTGTTCTGCAAAGTGGTCCCCAAGCCTCCACTTGGTTTTCCCGATGTAGAGGAGGCCACAACGGGAACAGTGGATGCAGTATACCACATTAGCAAATGTGCGGGTGAACATCTGCTTGATGTGGTCTTCTTAGGGCCTGGGATGGGGGTGAGGGAGGAGGTGTAGGGGCAGGTGTAGCACTTCCTGCGGTTGCAGGGAAAAGTGCCGAGTGTGGGGGGGAGGGCGGAGCGGACAAGGGAGTCACGGAGAGAGTAGTCCCTCTGGAAAACCGATAAGGGTGGGGAGGGAAAAATGTCTTTGGTGGTGGGGTCGGATTGCAGATGGCGGAAGTGTCGGAGGATGATGCGTTGGATCCGGAGGTTGGTGGGGTGGTACGTGAGGACAGGGGGGATTCTGTTTTGGTTGTTATTGCGGGGAGGGGGTGTGAGGGATGAGTTGCGGGAAATGCAGGAAATGCGGGAGACACGGTCAAGGGCGTTCTCGACCACTGTGGTGGGGGGGAACGTTGCGGTCCTTGAAAAACGAGGACATCTGAGATGTACGGGAGTGGAATGCCTCATCCTGGGAGCAGATGTGGTGGAGGCGAAGGAATTGGGAATAGGGGATGGCATTTTTGCAGGAAGGTGGGTGGGAGGAGGAGTATTCTAGGTAGCTGTGGGAGTCGGTGGGCTTGAAATGGATATCGGTTTCTAGGTGGTTGCCGGAGATGGAGACAGAGAGGTCCAGGAAGGAGAGAGAGGTATTGGAGATGGTCCAGGTGAACTTAAGGTTGGGGTGGAAGATGTTGGTGAAGTGGATGAACTGTTTGAGCTCCTCGTGGGAGCACGAGGTGGCCCTGATACAGTCATCAATGTAATGGAGGAAGAGGTGGGGTTTAGGGCCAGTGTAGGTAAAGAAGAGGGATTGTTCCACGTAACCCGCAAAGAGGCAGGCATAGCTTGGGCCCATGCGGGTACCCATGGCCCTCCCCTTTGTCTGTAGGAAGTGGGAGGAATTGAAAGAGAAGTTGTTGAGGGTGAGGACGAGTTCGGCTAAGCGGATGAGGGTATCAGTGGAGGGGGACTGATCGGGCCTGCGGGACAGGAAGAAGCGGAGGGCCTTTAGGCCATCTGCATGGGGAATGCAGGTGTATCGGGACTGGACATCCATGGTAAAAATGAGGTGTTGGGGACCGGGGAATTGGAAGTTCTGGAGGAGGTGGAGGGCGTGGGTGGTGTCACGGACGTAGGTAGGGAGTTCCTGGACTAAGGGGGAGAAAATGGAGTTGAGATAGGTGGAGATAAGTTCCGTGGGGCAGGAGCAGGCGGAGACAATGGGTCGACCAGGACAGTCAGGTTTGTGGATTTTGGGAAGGAGATAGAAGCGGGCGGTGCGGGATTGGTGAACAATGACGTTGGAGGCTGTGGATGGGAGGTCACCTGAGGTGATGAGGTTGTGGATGGTTTGGGAGATAATGGTTTGGTGCTCGGGGGTGGGGTCATGATCAAGGGGGCGTTAGGAAGAGATGTCTGAGAGTTGGCGCCTGGCCTCGGCGATGTAGAGGTCGTTGCGCCATACTACAACTGCGCCTCCCTTGTCCGCGGGTTTTATGGTGAGGTTGGGATTGGAGTGGAGGCCTGCATGTTCTGCGGGGGAGAGGTTGGAGTGGGTGAGACGGGTGGAGAGGTTGAGGGGATTGATGCCTCGATGGCAGTTGGAGATGAAGAGGTCGAGGGAGGGTAGGAGGCCTTGGAGTGGTGTCCTGGAGGAGGGGTGTGTTGGAGGCGGGAGAAGGGGTCAGTGGAGGGAGGGTTAGGCTCACGGTTGAAGAAGTAAGCGCGGAGGCGGAGGCGGCGGAAAAACTGCTCGATGTCCAAATGTGACCGGTATTCGTTGATGTGTGGGTGGAGGGGGACAAAGGTGAGCCCTTTACTGAGGACGAACGGTCAGTCCTCAGTAAGGGGGAGGTCTGGGGGGATGGTGAAGACTCGGCAGGGCTGGATGTTGCTGTCTCCTCTGGAGCTGCTGGCTGTGGAGGTGATGGGCGGAGCGACGTCGGCGTCGGCTGTGGGCGGAGTTGCGGCGATGGTGGGCGGAGTTGTGTCGGCGGTGGTGGGCGGAGTTGCGTCGGCGTTGGCGGTGAGAGGAGTTGCATTGGAGTCAGCGGTGGGCAGAGTTGCGTCGGCATCGGTGGTGGGCGGAGCGGGGTAGGAGGCGGCAGCAGCGATGACGGTAAGTGCATCCTCAGTGTCTATGGTGTTGGAAATGGAGGCGGTGGCATCAGCAGTGGTGTCGATGTCCCAGAAGTGGTGTACCTGGCGGCGGAGGATGTGACGTCATCCGTGGTTGCTCCGACAGTGGCCACGTGGCCACTGGCGGCGGGCACGTTGTGGGGAACGTCATGGGTAGGGTTGGGGATTTGGGAGGTGGAGGGAACCCGTTTTGGGTGGTAGGCACCAGTAAGTTTACTGTACTTACGGTTTTTTGTGTCCAATAAAGCTGAGTAGAGTTGACTGAGTAATATTGACTGGAAGCGCTACAGTTCGAGTACTTTAGATGGGTCAGATTTTGTCCAATGTGTGCAGTAGGGTTTCCTGACACAGTATGAAGATAGGCCAACAAGTGGCGAGGCCACATTGGATTTGGTACTGGGTAATGAACCAGGGCAGGTGTTAGATTTGGAGGTAGGTGAGCACTTTGGTGATAGTGACCACAATTCGGTTACGTTTACTTTAGTGATGGAAAGGGACAGGTATATACCGCAAGGCAAGAGTTATAGCTGGGGGAAAGGCAATTATGAGGCGATTAGGCAAGATTTAGGATGCATAGGATGGAGAAGGAAACTGCAGGGGCTGGGCACAATTGAAATGTGGAGCTTGTTCAAGGAACAGCTACTGTGTGTCCTTGAGAAGTATGTACCTGTCAGGCAGGGAGGAAGTGGTCGAGCGAGGGAACCGTGGTTTACTAAAGAAGTTGAATCTCTTGTCAAGAGGAAGAAGGAGGCCTATGTAGAGATGAGGCGTGAAGGCTCAGTTAGGGCGCTTGAGAGTTACAAGTTAGCCAGGAAGGACCTAAAGAGAGCTAAGAAGAGCCAGGAGGGGACATGAGAAGTCTTTAGCAGGTAGGATCAAGGAAAACCCTAAAACTTTCTATAGTTATATCAGGAATAAAAGAATGACTAGAGTAAGATGAGGGCCAGTCAAGGACAGTAGTGGGAAGTTGTGCGTGGAGTCCGAAGAGATAGGAGAGACGCGAAATGAATATTTTTCGTCAGTATTCACACAGGAAAAAGACAATGTTGTCGAGGAGAATACTGAGATACAGGCTATTAGACTAGACGGGATTGAGGTTCATAAGGAGGAGGTGTTAGCAATTCTGGAAGGTGTGAAAATAGATAAGTCTCCTGGGCCGAATGGGATTTATCCTAGGATTCTCTGGGAAGCTAGAGAGGAGATTGCAGAGCCTTCCGCTTTGATCTTTATGTCGTCATTGTCTACAGGAATAGTGTCAGAAGACTGGAGACTAGCAAATATTGCCCCCTTGTTCAAGAAAGGGAGTAGAGACAACCCTGGTTCAGTGAGCCTTAGTTCGGTTGTGGGTAAAGTGTTAGGATTTATAATCTTCTAGAAAGGAATAATTTGATTAGGGATAGTCAACACGGTTTTGTGAAGGGTAGGTCGTGCCTCACAAACCTTATTGAGTTCTTTGAGAAGGTGACCAAACAGGTGGATGAGGGTAAAGCGGTTGATGTGGTGTATATGGATTTCAGTAAAGCGTTTGATAAGGTTCCCCATGGTAGGCTATTGCAGAAAATACGGAGGCATGAGATTGAGGGTGATTTAGCGGTTTGGATCAGAAATTGGCTAGCTGTAAGAAGACAGAGGGTGGTTGTTGATGGGAAATGTTCATCCTGGAGTTCAGTTACTAGTGGTGTATCTCAAGGATCTGTTTTGGGGCCACTGCTGTTTGTCATTTTTATAAATGACCTGGATGAGGGCGTAGAAGGATGGGTTAGTAAATTTGCGGATGACACCAAAGTCAATGGAGTTGTGGATAGTGCGGAAGGATGTTGCAGGTTACAGAGGGACATAGATAAGCTGCAGAGCTGGGCTGAGAGGTGGCAAATGGAGTTTAATGCGGAAAAGTGTGAGGTGATTCACTTTGGAAGGAGTAACAGGAATACAGAGTACTGGGCTAATGGTAAGATTCTTGGTAGTGTGGCTGAGCAGAAAGATCTCGGTGTCCATGTGCATAGATCACTGAAAGTTGCCACCCAGGTTGATAGGGTTGTTAAGAAGGTGTACAGTGTGTTAGGTTTTATTGGTAGAGGGATTGAGTTTCGGAGCCATGAGGTCATGTTGCAGCTGTACAAAACTCTGGTGCGGCTGCACTTGGAGTATTGCGTACAGTTCTGGTCGCCGCATTATAGGAAGGATGTGGAAGCATTGAAAAGGGTGCAGAGGAGATTTACCAGGATGTTGCCTGGTATGGAGGGAAGGTCTTATGAAGAAAGGTTGAGGGACTTGAGGCTGTTTTTGTTAGAGAGAAGAAGATTAAGAGGTGACTTAATAGAGACATGCAAGATGATCAGAGGATTAAATAGGGTGGACAGCGAGAGCCTTTTTCCTTGGATGGTGATGGCTAGCACGAGGGGACATAGCTTTAAATTGAGGGGTGATAGATATAGGACAGATGTCAGAGGTAGGTTCTTTACTCAGAGAGTAGTAAGGGCGTGGAATGCCCTGCCTGCAAAAGTAGTAGACTCGCCAACTTTAAGGGCATTTAAATGGTCATTGGATAAACATATGGATGATAATGGAATAGTTTAGGTTAGATGGGCTTCAGATTGGTTTCACAGGTCGGCGCAACATCGAGGACCGAAGGGCCTGTACTGCGCTGTAATGTTCTATGTTCTAGGTTATGGGTCCTACAAAGAATAAAAAACAGGAGAGGTCCTTTGCAGGTCTGGAAGAGGGAGGCTCTGAGCTGGGGTAGACTTGATTTTAGTGCCGGGGATGCCGGCGCATTGCTGCGTGTGTGTATTTCAGGAGTCGCAGGGAGAAACGCTTCTGAAGGATCTCAATGTTCTGAATGTAGACACTGTCATGGTTGGGGCCAAATTGGGAAGGCCTGAATGTGGACTGTAGTCCATTGGGGATGATATGGTTCCGTAGGCAGGTACTAAGAAAGGTGATGTGGCTGTAACTTCCCCCGCCTCAGTGGTTGAGAACACCCTCGACCGTGTCTCCCGCAACTCATCCCTGACATCCCCTCCCTGCAATAACAACCAAAACAGAAACCCCTCGTCCTCACGTACCACCCCACCAACCTCCGGATCCAACGCATCATTCTCCGACACTTCCGCCATCTGCAATCCGACCCCACCACCAAAGACATTTTTCCCTCCCCACCCTTATCTGCTTTCCGAAGGGACCACTCTCTCCGTGACTCCCTTGTCCGCTCCACACTCCCCTCCAGCCCCACCATACCTGGCACTTTTCCAGTGCTACACCTGCCCCTACACCTCCCCCCTCACCCCCATCCCAGGCCTCAAGAAGACTCTTCACATCAAGCAGATGTTCACCTGCACATCTGCTAATGTGGTATACTGCATCCGCTGTTCCTGTTGTGGCCTCCTCTACATCAGGGAAACCAAGTGGAGGCTTGGGGACCACTTTGCAGAACATATAGGCTCGGTTCGCACTAAACAACTGCACCTCCCAGTCGCGAACCATTTCAACTCCCCCTCCCATTCCTCAGGCGACATGTCCATCCTGGGCCTCCTGCAGTGCCACAACGATGCTACCCAAAGGTTGCAGGAATAGCAACTCATATTCCGCTTGGGAACCCTGCAGCCCAATGGTATCAGTGTGGACTTCACAAGCTTCAAAATCTCCCCTCCCCTTACCGCATCCCAAAACCAGCCCAGCTCATCCCCGCCTCCCTAACCTGTCCTTCCTCCCACCTATCCCGTCCTCCCACCTCAAGCCCCACCCCCATCTCCTACCTACTAACCTCATCCCACCCCCTTGACCTGTCCGTCCTCCCTGGACTGACCTATCTCCTCCCTACCTCCCCACCTACACTCACTCACCTTTACTGGCTCCATCCCCGCCTCTTTGACCCGTCTGTCTCCTCTCCACCTATCTTCTCCTCTATCCATCTTCTATCCGCCTCCCCCTCTCTCCCTATTTATTTCAGAACCCCTTTCCCCTCCCCCATTTCTGAAGAAGGGTCTAGGCCCGAAACATCAGCCTTCCTGCTCCTCTGATGCTGCTTGGCCTGTTGTATTCATCCAGCTCTACACCTTGTTATCTCAGATTCTCCAGCATCTGCAGTTCCTACTATCTATGTGATGTAGAAACTATTTCTAGCAGCAGAAAGTTCAGTAACCAAAAGACATAGATTGAAGGTGATTGTCGATGGAGCTGGAGGAGATCTGAGAAATCTACGTGGAAGCTTATGATATGGAATGCATTGCTTGGCAAGATGATGGAAGCACAATCAGTAGTAAACTTCAGAATAGAATTTGATGTATACTTGAAAAATAAAAATGTATAGGTTCTGTGTAATAAGAAAGGGATTGAGAATAATTCCAATGAACTGACATGGGCAGTAGACTGAATGATGAAGATGAGTAATACCCAAAACATCAACTTCTCCTTTCCTCCAGATGCTGCCTGGCTTGCTATGTTCTTGCAGCCTCCTGTTTGTCTCCCTTCGATTCCAGCATCTGCAGTTTTTTTAAGTCTCCAGTCGTGAATGATGACCTCTTGTGTTAGATAATTGTATGTTGTCATTTCCGATATATAAAATGAATTAAATGGTCTCTGAGTATTTAAGCAAAAATAAGAAACCTACAGTAAATTAGAAATAAAATGTGGATGCGTTAATGAAATTAAATAGACTGAATTTTCATGTATGGTTTAATTATAGCAATCCAGTGATGGTGATCAGGAACATGCAGCTGCCAGTAGGGGTAAAATTTTAATGTTGAGGAAAAAGGTTGAAGATTTGGAAACACAAATTGCCAAAAAAGATACAGAATTGAAGAAGACGGTAAGATTCTAAAAATATATCTGTTTACTTATTTAGGAATATATGAATTGCATATTATGACATCCTAATTTTAAATAACTTACAGCTTACAGAGCTGGACGCACAGCTGCGACGTGGTTCCGATATGGACATGATGCTTGCTGAGAAGGACAAAAAACTGGCTGAAAAAGAGGCCTATATCATTGAGCTCCAGTTAGCTGCTGTTTCGGATCATACACCTCAACAAGTAACACTGTCTAGTGAAGGAATTGAAGTGAGTGATAAGGAAAATTAATTGCAGCATTTGCATTTATACACTTCCCCAATAGCTTTCATTAGAGAAAAAGATCTTATTGTATCTTTTATATTCCCTGCTAGTTTGCCGTCAGTTATTTCTGTCCATTATCTTTTTAGTTCTACTTTTCTGGGTTCTGAATTGTCCCTGTCTTGATCAGATTGACAGATTCTTGCTGAGAATCTGCTGGGTTGAACTTAATATTTGTGCCGTTCCCGTTTAGTATCACTTTTGCACCATTGATGTGTGGTGGTACGTTAACAATTCTGTGGGAGTTTTGTCCTGCATTAAACTTATTTCATCAGAATTATATTTCAATTCATGTGAACTGCTAAGGCTCGAGACCACATTATTTTGGAACATTGAGATAAAAATGTTCTTAGAGCGAACCCTTAATTTCTGTTTCACTTTGCTTAGTAAACCAAATCTATAGTTTGTAGTCTGAGGTGTTCTGCCCCTGTATTGTTAGTCTGCCTTATGGTGGTAATCCTGTCTGTAACTTTGGCCAAAGGTTCCTTTTCTGACCTGTTACTTCAGGTACAGGCTCACTCTTTGGTTTGTTAACACCTAAAGGTAAGTGATAATAATGCTTATGCCCCCTGTTTACTAGTCTGTCTATAAACAATATATCTTAACAATGATGGATTTCTACCAAGCTTGGTACAGAGATAGGCTTGGCCCATAGAAGAAGAAATTAGATTTCGAAGAGCAAATTGACTTTTCATTAGAATGCTGTGGGTTATAGTATTTAGAATACTGTGGATTGGCTCAGCTGCACAACAGTCAAAATTCAAGCAGGGTTTAAAGAGTAGGTTTATGGATTTAGATTAGTCTACAGCCTCCTCTTTAGATGTTAATTCTCAAAAAGTAAATCTTTTTCCAACTTTGCATTTGTAGCATATGGGCCAGGCAGGGAAAAGCTTCAAGAAAAAGTTGTGTAGTTGTAATAATGTTCAGTTAAACGCAGTGTAGCGGAATATGTGTTCTGCCAAGTGCCCTCTTCTCTTATTAGAACTGTGACTTCCCTGTGGAAATGTATTTTGCATTGGGCATGCAGAGTATCTGGAGTGAATTGAATTGTAGCTGAGAATATGTTACAAGGCAGCACTGTGGACTTCGTTGGGAACATCATTTTAGGCTTGAGTGTAGTGAAAAATGTGAAACATGATGGAAACAAGCAAAGAGGGGGAAATTAGGAAAGTAAAAAGAAAACAAAGATATTATTTTAACATTCTGTGTAGTGATGTGGAATCTTGCAGAAACTTTGCAACCTGTTGAAGGGCCTGTTTCCGTTGTGTATAACTGTTACTCTTTTATGATCATCCCACACTATTTGGTGAATTTATGCATTGTATAATTTTTATTTTACAAGCTGAAAAAGACTTCCATCTTTATTTTATCTTAAATATGTACACACTAAATTATGAATCATTAAATACATAAATAAAAATCAAAATATTGTGGATACTGGAAATCGGAAACAAAAAGCAGTGCTGGAGAATCTCAGAATGTCTCACAGCATTTATGGAGAGAATCAGTGTAACATTTCGAGTGTGATATGACTAAAGAAAAGTCATATTGGGTTTGAAATGTTAAATCTGTTTCTGTTTCCAAAGGTGTTGCCAAACCTGCTGAGGTTCTCCAGCATTGCTGCTTTTATTTCTTACTTTCAAACTTCGCTCGACTCCCATCCTACTGTTCAGATATTTTATTTTGGGTGTAATTAGATTTAACCCATCTGAACGGAACTATTGACAAAAACTCTCAAACCTGCATTCATTCTCTTAATTAGGTAGTGCAGCATCAGTTTGAAGGGAAGGAGACTCCCAGCAGTGATTTACAGTCAATGGTTCACAGTCTGACCAAAAAAGTTGAGGAGAGTGAAGAAAGCTTCAGCCTCCTCCAAGAGCAGGCAGAGAATTTGAAGGAACAGCTCAACAAAGAGAAAATCCAGTATCAGGAGAAGGAAGCAATGTACATGAAAAATGTGAGTACACATTATTATATTCCACAATGCGTACATTGAACCCCACTCTTCCAGAATTATACCAAATGCTAATTTTTTTTTTAAAGGTACACCCAGTGCCTTGATTTACCTGACTTTCAGACCAAGATTGATAGAAAGTATGGATCATGTTTCTGTACCAAGCAGAATTATTATTTATTATTTGTAATTAGACTATAGCTACAAGTAAACAGACACAAACCTTTGGCATATAACATAGCTAACTGACATAGAAGATAGGAGCAGAAGGAGGCCATTCAGCCCTTTGAGACCGTTCCTCCATTCTTCACGATCATGGCGATCGTCCATCTCAATAGCCTAATTCTGCTTTCTCCCCATAACCTTTGATCCCATTTGCCCCAAGTGCCAAATCTAGTTGTTTCTTGAATACATTCAGTGTTTTGGCATCAGTTACTTCCTGTAGTAATGAATTCCACAGGCTCACCACTTTTTGGGTGAAGAAATGTTTCCTCATCTCCGTCCTAAATTGTCTACCCTGAATCCTCAGACTGTGACCCCTGGTTCTGGACACACCCACCATTGGGAACATCCTCCCTGCATCTACCCTGTCCAGTCCTGTTAGAATTTTATAAGTTTCTACAAGATTCCCCTTCATTCATCTGAAGTCTAGCAAAAACCATCCCAACCTAGTTACTGTCTCCTTATAAGTCAGATCTGCCATCCCCAGAATCAGCCTGGTAAACCTTTGCTGCACTCCCTCAAGAGTAAGAGCATCCTTCCTCCGAAAAGGAGACCAAAACTGCACGGAATGTTCTAGGTGTGGCCTCACCAGGGTCCTGTATAGCTGCAACAATGCATCCCTGCCCCTGTACTCAAGATTTATTGCAATGAAGGCCAACATACCATTCTTTACCGCCTGCTGCACCTGCATGCTTACCTTCAGCGACTGGTGCACAAGGACACCCAAGTCCCACTGCACACTCCCCTCTCCCAATTTACAGCCATTCAGGGAGGAATTCGCTTTCTTGTTTTTGCTTCCAAAGTGAATTATTTCACATTTATCCAAATTATACTGAATCTGCCATTGATTTGCCCACTCACTCAAACTATCATGTTGAAAGATCTCTGTATCCTTGTTACAGTTCACCCTCCCACCCAACCTGGTATCATCTGCAAACTTGGAGATGTTACATTTTGTCCCTCATCCAAATCGTTAATATATGTTGTGAATAGCTGGGGTCCCAGCACCGATCCCTGTGGCACCCTCCTAGTTTCTGCCTGCCGATTTGAAAAGGACCCATTAATTCCTACTCTGTTTCCTCTCTGCCAACTAGTTTCCTATCCACCTCAGTACACTTACCCCAATCCCATGCGCTTTAATGTTGCACATTAATCTCTTATGTGGGACTTGATCAAGTGCTTTCTGAAAGATATAATCTCCTTAAACTCCCCCTTTATGTGTGTGCAAACACTCCTGGATAAACAAACAGGGAAAATAGATTATTGAAAGAAATAGAGAAAGACTGGAAAGTCAATTCACTGGTCTTTGCTTCCCAATTCCAATGTTGAGATGATCATTCTTTGGCTAGCCAGGCCCTTGGCATTCCATTGTCCTTCTCTAGAAGGTTCCACTGGTTTGTAAGGAGTACTGAGTGACTGATTAACTTAAAATGTTTTTGATTTGTCAATTCAAAAGTGATATTTCTCACCAGTTATTGCAGGTAAGTTAGTCCTGCCATCCTGGGAATCAGTCTTGTGAACCTTCGCTCGACTCCCTCAGTAGTGAGAATGTCCTTACTCATACTAGAAGACCAAAACTGCACAGGATACTTAAGGTGTGGCCTCACCAAAGCCCTGTATAACTGCAGTAAGACATCCTTACTCCGATACTGAAATCCCCTCGCTGTGAAGGTCACCATGCCAATAGCTTTCCTCACTGCCTGCTGCACCTGCATGCCAACCTGTTCCACCATGGCACCCAGGTTTCATTGCACTTCCCCTTTTCCTAAACTGCCACCATTCTCATAATGATCTGCCTTCCTGTTTTTGCAACCAAAGTGGATAACCTCACATTTATCCACATTATATTGCATTTGCCAAGTAGTTGACCATCCAGCCAGTCCGTCCAAGTTACCCTGCAGCCTCTTAGCATCCTCCTCACAGCACACACTGCCACCCAGCTTAGTGTCATAGGTTGTAGGTGGTGGTGTTCCCACATTTATGCAAAGCTCATTCTTCTAGACAGTCATAGATTTGGTAAGTCTTGTCCAAGGACCCTTGGTGAATTCCTGCTGCTCTGATGGTTTATGAACTTATGTCCCCAGGGAGTTACCCTGTGCACCATCCCCTCATTTGCAGTCCCTAATGTTTAACATGTTTTTGGAAAGAGTACTTATATTTGTAATTACTGATTCCAAATAGCAACAGTTTTAATTTGTTTTGGAACTATCCAAAAGATATTTCTCAAGAAATTCACAAAATTTGAGGTACTGGCCCAGTAGTATTGGGAAGAAGGGAAGGGTGATGGGCTTCATGTGAGCTGTGCTGGGACCAGTGTCCTGGCAAATTGAATGATTAGCGCTGTAAAGAGGACTTTAAACTAATTAGAGTAGTGAAGGTTAGAGAGAAAGGAAATGTAGGCTGATGAAGCAACAGGATATAACAACAGTTTCAGGGCAGCTGTTTGGTTAATGATACCAAAGGTGTAATGGAAAGGGACTGTACAAACATGCAAAAACTGCAGGAAGTAGAGTCAAAAGGAGAAAAATGGTAAAAAGGCAAAATTAATTAATAGCATAAATACAAATCAGTGGATATGATCTTAGCCATTACAGAGGCATGGTTACAAGAAGATCAAAGGGAACTAAATAAACTATACAGTAAATGGCAGAACCCTTAAGAGTACTGATAGGCAGAGAGATCTGGATGTACAAGTACACAGGTCATTGAAAGTGGCAACGCAGGTGGAGAAGGTAGTCAACAAGGCATATGGCATGCTTTCCTTCAAGGTGGATAGCAAGAGCTTCGTTAAATATATAAAAGGGAACAGAGAAGCCAAAGTTATCAGAGGCCCTTTCAAGGCTTTTCCGAGGCTGGGAAATAGTATTGGGTGCAAAGAAATGCCAGTGGGGTCAACCAAATACTTTTCATCAGTCTTCCCAGTGAAAACTGCTAGGTGGGATACAAAATTGGCTTGGTTGTAAAAGACAGATGTTAATTGTGGAGAGTGGTGTTTTTCTGACTGGAGATCTGTGACCACCGGCATTCCAATAGGATCAGTGTTGGGACCTCTTTTGTGACATGTATAAATGATTTGCCTGATTAGTAAATTTACAGGCAACATGAAAATTGGTGGTGTTATAAATGGTGAGGAAGGTTGTCAAAGGATACAGCAGGATACAGATCGGTTGAAAAGTTGGACAGAGAAATGGCAGATGGAGTTTAATCCAGACAAGTGTGAAGTGATGCATTTTGGAAGGCCAAATGCAAGAGGAACATATACAGTAAGTGGCAAGACCCTTAGGAGCATTGATATACAGAGGGATCTTGGGGTTAAAGTCCATAGCTCCCTGAAAGTGGCAACACGGTGGATAAGGTGGTAAAGGGGCATACAGCGAGCTTGCCTTTATCAGTCGAGGCACTGAGTATGAAAGTTGGCAAGTCATGTTGCAACTGTAGAAAACTTTAGCTCAGCCACACTTGGATTATTGTGTGCTGTTCTGTCAGCTGCACCATTGAAAGGATTTGGAGACTTTGGAGAGAGCGCAAAAGAGGTTTTCCAGAATGTTGTCTGAATCAGAGCCTATTATCTAGAAGGACAATTTGGACAAACTTGGGTTGTTTTTACTAGAGCGTTGGAGACTGAGGAGCAACTCGATAGAAGTATTTAAAATTATGAGAGGCATGGATAGGGTGGATAGTTGGTGTTTTTTTCCCAGGGTAGAAACCAAGTCGTAAAGTCGTACAGGACGGAAACAGACCCTTTGGTTCAACCAGTCCATGCCAACCATAATCCCAAACTAAACTAGACCCACCTACCTGTGCTTGGCCCATACCCCTCAAAACATTTCTTATTATTGTACTTATCCAAATGTCTTTTAAATGTTGTAACTGTACCCGCATCCACCATTTTCTTTGGAAGTTCATTCCACACATGAACCACACTCTGTGTTAGCCACTCTGTCATTTTTAAATCTTTACTCTCTCACCTTAAAAAACAGACTTGAAATCCTCCATCAAATGGGAAAGATCTCTGCTGTTCATCTATCTATACCCATCATGATTTAAGTCAAATTGACTTTCTTTCCCGACAATATCCTGGTAAATCTTTTCTGAACCCTCTCCAATTTAATAATGTCCTTCCTATAACAGGGCAACCAGAACTGGTCACAGTACTCCAGGACAGGCCTCACCAGCATCTTGTACAGACTCAGTATGACTTCCCAACTCCTATACTCCTATACTCAAAGGACTGAGCAATGAAGGCAAACATGCTAAATGCCTTATAACCATCCTGTCTACAGTGATGCAAGCTTCAAAGAAGTATGTGCCTGAATCCCTCGGTCTCCCTGTTCTACAATACTACTCAAGGCCCTACTTTTAATTGTATAAGTCTTGCCCTTATTTGTTTTATCAAAATGCAATACCTCGCATTTATCCAAATTAAGCTCCATCTGCCACTCTTCAGCCCATTGACCCAATCGATCAAGATCTCTTCGTAATCTTAGATAACCTTCTTCACTGTCCACTATCCCACCAATTTTAGTGTCATCTACAAACTTACAAACCATGCCTCTATAGTGTCACCTAAATCATTTACATAAAGGACAAACAAAAGCAGACCCAGCATTGACCCCTGTGGAGCACCGGTGGTCACAGTCCTCCTAGCCCGAAAAACAACCTTCCACCACCACACTGTCTCCTGCCATTAAGCCAGTTTTGTATCCAGTTGACAAACTCAGCTTAATTCTCATGTGATCTAACTTTACTAACTAGTCTACCATGCGAAACCTTGTCAAAGG